CCATCCCCGCCTCTTCGACCTGTTTGTTTCCTCTCCACCTATCCTCTCCTCTATCCCTCTTCTATCCGCCTCCCACTCTCTCCCTATTTATTTCAAAACCCCCTTCCCCTCCCCCTTTTCTGATGAAGGGTCTAGGCCCGAAACGTCAGCCTCTCTGCTCCTATGATGCTGCTTGGCCTGCTGTGTTCATCCAGCCCTGCACCTTGTTGTCTCGGATTCTCCAGCATCTGCAGTTCCTACTATCTCTAAAGGTGGTACAGATTTAAATTGATTTGCAAAAGAAGCAAATATAATGCAAGAAAAACATTTTCCATACAGTGGTCTTGGTTTGGAATGCACTGCCTGAAAGCGTGGCAGAGGCAGTTCAATTGAGGCATTCAAATGGGAATTGAATGACTATTTAATCACAAACAATGTGCAAGGGTATGGGGATAAAGGCAGGAGAATAGCACTAAATCATGATGATCATTTGGAGAGTTGGTAAAGACACGATGGGCTGAATAACTTCCTTCTGAACCATAATACTTCTGTGATTCTGTGAACATGGACTGAAATTTTTGATTATCCTGAACTTCACAAATGAACTCCTCCACCACCCCACTGAAACTCAATTTGACAATTTCCATTTAAGAAATAGATACACGCTCCAATTTCTTTATTTCCTTTCCAGAAAGCTCTTGCTCTGACTGACTAGGATTCCTTCACTACTCTACCCAAGATGTCATGCTTCATACAAGAATCTAGTCTCCAATCCCAGATCATTTGACTTTGCAGCACATCATAGTCAAGTTTGATTCTGTCTTCATCTGATTTCCATATGCACAATATTTTAATACAGATTAACTACAGGCAATCAGGACTGCAAACTTTGGCTGATTATCTTTTATCCCATAAAACTCAATAACATTGAAAATGACTCCAGTAGCCCTTGCTACTCTCTCAGTTGAGATCAGTTAATTTATTACAAGTGAAGGATCAAACCAGAGAGCTTTTCTATCCGTATGGCTCAGTACCCCAGGGCAGCACACTTACCAATTGAGTAGGTGGGGAAGCTCATCCATAACTTGTCAACTGAAATCTCCAGTTGTCCAGGGTTGATTCAGGCTGGCATGAACAAGCAATCCAAATCAGATGTCAATTTTTTTTCATATGCAAACTTAAATCCCTCAAAGCCCCCTCTTGGCAACATGCTCAGACTATCCCAGCAAAATCTTGGTATCCTGCTGGATCCAGAGATCAGCCTCAAATCCCAAAACTTACCCATCACCAAGATACTTGTTTCATCTCTGCAACAGTGCTCATGTTGACACTTCTTTTTTCTCTTTTCCACTGAAATTCTTACCCACGCTTCTATCAACATTGGACATGATTTACTGGCTTCCACCCACAAAAAAATTCATTGTTTCAAGTCAGCTACCCATTTCTTGTACAAAGACAAAATATGCCAAATGCTAGACATCCGAATATAAACAGAATATTCTGGAGAAAAAGGCATGTCGGAAGACTGCAAAACAGAGTGAACATTTCAGGTTGTTGTCACTGAGCTGAAACAATCCAAAAGTTCCTCTCTCCACAAATGCTGCCAACCTACTGAGTATTTCAAGCACTTCCTGTTTACATCACATACATTGTCTTGCATTATATCCGATTTGCATTCACCCATCTTCACTGGCCTCCACTTGCTGCTCCCTATACAAAGCATTGATTTTAAAATCTTCATCCTCAACCCATTCTAGCTCTATAACCTCCTCCAGTCTGCAACTTTTTGGTCCTCCAACTCTGGTCATCTGTACATTCCCTCTTCCCTTCACCAGAGAATGTTTCCTCAGCCTTCTATCCCTATTCAACTGTGCCCCTCCCCGTGCTCCCTCTCTCCCTCAACATTTTTAAAAGCCCCCAAAAGACTTTCTCCACCAACTCTCATTTATGCCCAATATCTCTCTTCTTTGCAATGTACTTGATAAATTTCACAATAAAGATGTTACGTAAATGCAAGCTATTAGTTGAAAATGCATTCTGGCCCAAGTTACCGATTTCAACTGTAGTCAGAATTGAACAATTAAAGATAAAACATTAGCTAGCGCATTGGCACAACTAAAGATTTAGTATGTTAATTGGAGCAAGTTACTTGGCATCCTTTCCTATAGCTGAATTTTTTTTTTGGATCAATGTGTACTTCAATAGAGTTGGCTCCCTCCTGTTGTATATTCTAGCTAAGATAATGCTACCAGTTCCATGTTGAAGTGTTTATGTTTCATGACCAATCTTGCAAGATGCACTCAGAGATCAGGATTTGTTGGAAACTGAAAAGAATTCTCATGCAAATCAATGTTCAAAGACACAAGCATTTCAATATCTCTGCATTATATGCATGCATGCATGCAATGTATACAAAACGTTATACATAATTTTGATCATTGTAACTGGAAATGCAGTGGGTAATTTCCCAGTCACCAGGCAAACTGCAGAATGGTGTACACACTGAAAGGTGAAGATTCTCCTTCCGAGCCTCTCTTGGATAAGATCGAAGGCAGACTTTTGAATAGGCTTGGTTAAAATATAAAAAATTTGCATGGCAATCCAGCTGCTATTCTCTCACCATTCCAGCTGAGGCTCTGCAGCATGTCACGAAGACATTTACAGTCTTTATTGTACTTCCAAGCCTCCTGCATCACCTCGTTCAACTTCTCATCTTCATTCTCTCCTATCAAAACAATTAAACATTGAACATACGCAAGTGACAATATTGCAATTTTGGTTCAAATCTTATTTGTTTCTCCCTGCAACTCCTGCCAAAAAATTAATATTCCTCTCAGCTGGGAGGACAGATGCAGGTACTGTATAAACCTCTGCCAGAACAATTCTTAAAGCTGGCAGTAACACCAGCTCCAGGCTTATGGGTCTCATGCAGCAAGTAACAAACTAAAATTCCTTACAAACAGAAAGGACAGCATTATTTAAACTGGTGGCTAACATCAGTAAATCTGACAAGTTTAGCTTGTGGGTACTGTTGGCTGCACAAGGTAGTGTCAGGAATCAGCAGCACTAACAATAATTTCATACAATGTAATGACAGCTTCGACATACTGATTAGGCAGATGAATACTAAAGTTACCTGGGAAAAAAACAACTTTACATTACACCAAACAAAAAATAAAGAACTGCAGATGCTGGAAATCTGAAACAAAAACAGAAATTGCTGGAGAAACTCAGCAGGTCTGGCAGTGTCTGTGGAGAGAAAATACAGTCAATATTTCAGATCCAGCGACCCTTCTTCAGAACGCACCTAGCTAATGGCAGGGTGTCGAGTATGCATTGCACATATACTGAATTCCTCAATATTGCTACAGACTGGTGGGGAGCAAGAGAGAAACAAAAATAGTTAGTGTTGAGAACTGTCAACTTGCGTTCAAGCATAAATCATGGAAAACTGTTTGTTATCAGAAGAGAAAAAAACCTTTTGAATATCCTAGAAGCATTACCTGGACTAGCCATCTCTGGGATGCAAGAGGGAGCACTTCATCTGGCTGGCACATCTGCATCTACAGCAGGCCAAGGGACAGCTAATTCAAAATTCTCCACAGATTTTAACCTAATGAGGTCAGATTAAACACTGGCAGGGTCGAACTCATGAAAAACAACGCTCCAACACACGGTGGCTCTATTCCCACGATGGGCCTTGCTGGGCAGGGATTCTAAAGGGTATCAAAATCATTTTCAACTTTAACCGATGCAAAAGATTCTACGGTGCACTTTTTGAATAAGATCGTAAAGATCTCCAGTGTCCTAGTCAACATGCAACCCTCAATCAAAATCACCAAAACAGATTAATAGTTGAACTCATTGAATTTTTGCTTTCTGTGTTCAAACTGGTTGCAGTGGTTAACTACAAAAGAATAGCCTACATTTAAATATGTGAAGCTTTTTGGGATGTTCTAAGAGCCAAACAAATAGAAATATTTCTCTCGCCACCCCACAACATATAATTCCCACACATTCAGCTGACTGCCTGCAGAGTAAGGAACTCCTAGA